ATATATATGAAAAATCTAGGAAACTTCATCAATATCGTAAAAAAAAGATTTGTTTTTTGTATTTTTAGTATTAGATAGCTTTGTTAAAAGTGTACCTAAGTGGGAAATTAAAGCAGAAGACGACATGCATGGCAATAGAAAATAGACAGTGGCTTCGTTATAAAGTGTGTAATTGCAAAATTATTAATTTAGCAGAAGATAACATGCATATATCAATAGAAAATAACTACCTTTATTTAAATTATTAATTTTTAATAATTAGGTACTTGTAGCTACGCTGTAAAGAATGATTATTTGAAAAAGCAAAATAAAAGAAAACATGAATAGATCATAAAATAATATTAGCTTTTGCTTAAAGCACAAATGCGAATAAGCATAATACAACAGAGAAATAGTAGAAAATATATATAGTAAATTATAAATGGGAATAAAAAAAATGAACAACATGCAATATTTAATATGAATTAGTAAATAATTTTATTCAAAGGGTACCTTGAGATTAGCAAAGGGGTAAAAAAGAGGGGAACGTGGAGCAGCCTTGAAAATAACTCATTGAATAAATTTATAATAAGAAAAAAGATTTGGGAATCTCAAACTTTTTAATTTAAAAAAATCATATTTTGGTCGGTTTCTATTTTGAAATTTTGTTACGATTCATGTAATAGAATAAAAAGAAATAGTCATGTTTCTATTTTATTTTTATTTTTTTTAACATGAGGTTGATTAATATTTATTTTGACGCTCGACTAATTTAGATTTACATCAGAATCTCACTTCGAGGGGTAAAACTCTCTCAACCAAATAAAACTTCATACAAATTCAGTACGTACTTATATAATACTATATTTACTATGTTTAAATTATTTGTCTTATTTTAACTTGACACTGAGTTAAAAAATAAATAAGACTTTTAAACCTTATAGTGTCAAACTAAAGATACGTGGATTGTATCAAAATGCCCTAATCTTGTGATAATAAATATGTCATTTCAAAAATTACAATAATTAAGAAATTATTAAAATGGAAAAGAGACAAAAAAAATCAACACAATATAAATAAGACAAACAAATTGAAACAGTAATCGTAAAAATAGCGTTCACACGATGGAGAGGTGTGCTAGATATATATTCGACTATAGGTTTTCTTGCGTCAAATTTAGTCCATATACGATTATAATTCGATCAAGTTGTGTTTTTTTTTGTCAACATTTGTGTAATTTGTTCTAAGATGCATGTGATATGTCAATTTCAGTACAATTGGAATTTGATCCCTCCAAATTTGAGCAATTCATATTGTCTAAATTGACCCAAACAAATTTTAGAAATAACAAAAAATGAGATATTTTACTGATTTGGTTTATGTTCATTCACTTCCTATCTCAAAAAGAAGGATTAATAATCAAACATATTTTGAAGAATCAAAAATAATTTTCAGTTAAAGGAGTAAAATACATTTTCAAAATCAAGTTAATATAAAATAATTTATCATATATAATTTAACTTGTTATGTATAATAAATTATATTATATGGTTAGTGCATATTAGTGAATTCAATAAATAAATGTTTATTTGAAATAATACCTAAATATTAGTATTTCAAATATTTAAATTAAGATTTATTTAAAGGTCTATGGTCAAATCAGAAATGGTCCTAGATAGACGTAACTTGAATTTAGTTTTTTTAAAAAACGAATCTAACGTAATAAAATTATTTAAAAAAACATGTTTACCATGAGATAGGCACGTATAGGAAAATATTGACTTGCCTTTATAGGATTGAGAAAAGAGATGTTTTTTTGCCTAAATTAATTTCTTAATTCTTATTCTTCTACACAGAATAATACGTGATTTTGAGCATAATCAGTGAGTTGTGTAATAGGCAATCATTTTACGCAATTTCTTAAGGATATTTGTCTAACCATAAACCGTTGATGCCTTATGTGCATGACTATTTCACTTGAAAGATAAATTTTTGGATAGAACCTTTTGATTTATGTTGATTTTCTTTGAAAGACATCAACATAATTCAATAAATGCAACCGTTGATTCCATTTAAATAATACAAAGCAAAAATGATGATGATCATTATACAAGTAGAAATATACTTTTAGTTTCATACATCAAAAAAAGAAACTTTGACCAAATTTTGTGTTTCTCAAAATCTTGACTAAGCAAATTTGCATAGACGTTATGTTATTGATAACTAGATACGATTCATCTTCAATCAGGGGAGAGGCATCTGAATTGATTGATATGATAAACGGAGAATAAAAAAATGTTGTTCCATTGAAGTCCCTCATGATTTTCCTTTTTTTTCTTCTTCTCCCTATTGTGAATTGTGATTGTGAACCCAGGATTCGAACCAGCAAAAATAGTCAAGGGGTGAAAAACACAAGAAATTTATTATTGGAAGTTAAAAGAACTTCCCACAGCTAGCTCTGCAGTTTCTATGGAGTACTTTAAGACGCAAAAAGGGCTAACACCAAGACTCATCATGGTTGGCCTATGGGCTAATAAATTTGAAACAACCTACGATTACTGTTGGATGGGACTCAACCCCCCATCAACTCAGCACTAATAGGAGCTTCAAGCTCGAGTTGTAAGAGCAATCAACAAAAGATGGAAAACTACAGTCAAACAGGAAGCAAACACAAAGCGGGTCCATTTGTCACAAAGGCTAGCTTCAAAAGAACAACAACCATCTATTACAAAAAATATCCCAATTCTGGATATGTTGTTGCTTTA